TTTTTACTATAGGATTGTTAGATTTTTTTATTAATATTATATATTTTGTTAATATAAACTTTAATACTACATAACTAAAACTAGTTTAAGTTAATAAATATATACTAACTTCTCATCCTATACAACATATATATACATATGCACTGGATATATATAAACATATATAATATAAGTTTAAAATATCAAGGTCTCTAAGTAGGAGGTGGTAAGTGATCAAGTCTAAATCCTCTAGAAGAAGGACCAATAGTCTGGGGTGGTGCAGAAGAAGGACCACCAATCTGGGGTTGTGTGACATTTATAGAATATTGCTGGCTAAGTAAGCCAATGTGCTCTTGGAATCTCCTCTCAAAGCTGGCCTCCAACTATGATACTCTCTGTGATACCTCTGTATGAATACGTGTGGCCACCTTTATTTGAACTCGCTTTTCCATTTCTTCCCGAACTTGAATAAGCTCAGACTACAACTACTGGACTTGTGTCGTAAGAATCCTGGTGGTAGAAGAGAAGGCCTCACTCATGTCATATCGTTGTCAAGGGATGCCATGCTCTACTGGATCCTGTAATGTAGACATCCCTCTCATTTGACCTTTTTTCAAGGGTTCAACCACCTCCTTTCAAATAAGTGGATCCCATTGTGGCCACAAAACCTTGTTTGACCCATGCTTGTCCACATATTTTTGGTGAGCATCGTTTTGTTTCAAGAATAAAATTTTCATTAGTTAGCAATTTCAAATGATAATGGGAAATCAAATGAAAATTAACAATGATTGAGTACAATGGAGAGAAAATTATATCACTTTTCTTTAGCTTTTGATCAAAATTGACATAAAAAATAAATATAATTAATATCATAAAAGAATTAGATACTTACATATGTTTGCTCAGCATGTGGACATATCCAAGTGGGTGGGGCATCTTCTGGAGCATCAGGTCGGTGAGTCGTGTAAGTCAACAAGTACGACTCTAAAGGTGTCGGCCTAACTCTTCCTCTTTTAGCTGCTTATTAAAACATCAATAAAATCAATAATATTTCCATTTTTATGGTAAACAAAAATAATTTGTATATATAAAAGTATATTCTACTAATCAGTCGATCCTCATGGATCCCAATAGAAATGCATCTAGTTGTGTGGGTCACGCGGTCCCCCTTTGCTTGGTTTTTCCGACCTCTTTCTTGGAGTGTAATGTTTTTTGGACTCCTCCATCTTAAAGGTTTCATTATGCATGAACATGGGCAACTTCTTGTACTTGACCCATGCCTTTCGGGCTCGATGAAGCTCGTCTCGGAAATGGTTTTGACAATGTAATCTCCAAATTTTATACACACGAGCATCATCTTCTTCCCAATAATATGTCCTCTGCAATTATTAAAAAAAAATTAGTTAAATTTTAATAATTCATTTAATTTTAAAAAAAGGGGCAAAGTTTCATTTAAAATATCAGTTTTTTCACTATTAATAAATAAAATATAAAAAATCATATAAAATATATTCAACACTTCGATATCATAATATGATCAAAAGATAGCGTCTAAATAAATTCTTAAAAAATACTTCATAACCGATTTACTCAAAATGAAATTTGATCATGGAAACAGAACATAATCTAGCAACAAGAAAATGACCATTCCATATTCACCACCATTGATTCGAGAAGGAAAATAAAAAATAACATAATGCTTATGTGAATTAACGTAAAAAGTGCTTCTATGGATTGATGTCACTTTCACATAAACCTTAAACAAAACTTCAATAACTTGTCCAAACACAATAGGTACTAAAACTCTATAAAACTTATTAGTAATCATTGCAAACCAAATATATCTTCATTTTATTCTATAATTTTCATACCTAAAAAATTCTCCCAAGCAACCCCCTTTCTTTTCCTCAAGCCAACTAGACCAAAAAGCATTAGCTCATCATATAAGTACTTCCATATTACTATTGCAGCCCTCCCAAACCTCTCATGGCTGAATGTGCGTCGGTGATTTAGGCTAAGCAACTTCCTTTGACTCACGGGCGTCATCTCCTTTATGCATGCCATGTCCTGTCTTCGGGACAACATGTGATAGCTCCTCCTCCAGCTGAGCATCTAACTCAGGATCAAGCATAGCAAACTCAGCATCCAACTTAGCCTCCAAATTACGCTCTTCAGTGTCTTCCTCCATTGTTGCATCATCACCAATGTACTGGTCATCGTCCAATGATGGTTGGGTATCAATGGGTTGCTCTTGTTGTTGTTGTGTGGAAAGTTGAGTCAAACTGGACAGCTGCTATTGTGTGGGAGGTTGGTTCAAGCTGGGCAATTGTTGTTGTGTAGGAACAACCCTATGAGGCCCCCGAATAAGATGATGAAGTTGCCTTTGTGGTTCTCCCTGTGGATCAATTTGCTATCTAGAAGAAGATGAACCTCGCATACCTCGTCCTATATCTGTATATAAAAAATAATGGAAACACATCAACTTTCTTTTCATAAAGATAAGCAAAAATTT